CCTCTTTACTCTCTACAAGCAAGGTCATGTCATCTGTATATTGCAAGTTGTTTAAAAGTCTTCTTCTAATCCTGATGCCACATTCTTCTTCATACAATCCATGTTCTAGAAAGATTTACTCAGCATACAGACTGAATAGGTACAAAGAAAGGATGCAAACCTCATGCACACTTTCCCTGACTTTATGTTGGGTTTTACATGAGCACAATCAAGGGTCTGGAAGTCTCACTTTTCTAAATGTTACCCACCAAGGGAATATTAATTTCCTGTACTGTAGTGACTTGCATGTTGCTGTGTTGTTGGAAGTGTTGCTGCTGGTATTTCAAGTACCAGCAAAGTAGTCCACGGTGGACAGATCTCAGTAAAGCTCTAGACTAAGAAGCAGGACTTCAAAAACTCTATGGAGAGTAAAAGATCACTGTTGGGCACAGTGCTGGAAAGTGAGCCACTTGTGCTGGAAATGAACCAAAATGAGACTGAGAAAGAGCTTCCTCCTCAAAGAAGAGGCCGCCAGAATGGCATGGAGTTCTGCTTGCACCCTATGAAGGGCCTTCATTTGCTTTTATACTATCCTTAGCATAAACTTCAACCAGGCCTCTAAGACCTGGTAGGCCTGGTGGACCAGGCCTCCATCTGCTCCCCCCGATCCCCTAATTGGCTGGCTCTTCTCTGCCTTATTTTGCATACTACATGCTCCCTTTCTTTCATTTCTTCAAATTCCCCAACACTTTCCTTTGGGAAAACTTCCACAGACATAACTCTCTGGCACGTGTTGTTTTTTTCTTCTCTCTACTATTTGAGATTCCCATTCATTGTTCATACCCTGCCTTCCGTGTCCTTTCTTCAGAGAAACTTGCCCCAAACAGCCATCTAGATAATCTCTCATTTTTTATCATCTTTAATCACATTATCATCATTTATCTATTTAATCTTGTAGGTAAAATAGAAACAACAAAAGGCAATGTTCAATGACCTATTTTCTATGTGTTGGGTATTAAATTATGTGGACAGTATTATTCTTTTATTTAAGCTTCCAAACAAGTTCATGAAGTAGTTACTACTACAACTCACAGCACAGAAATGAGAGGAGGAGGGTCAGGCCAGTGAAAGAAGATGCTCGGGGCCACACGGAGGGTGAGTGGGAGGGTGGGGATTAGACCCACTGATCCTCCTGCTGGCTTTACTAGGCTGCTGGTATACATGACCCCTTTGCAAAAACAAAACAAACAGAATCTCAAGGTCATTGTCTGGGAGATGTGACTCACAGTGACCCTCCACGGAGCTTCTGAGGCTGTAAACTGTAATGAGAGGAGGCAGCCTACTTTTCTCCAGAGGAACCAAACACAGGTTTGAACTGCAGGAGAAATGCAGCCTTTGCCTCAGGAGCACAACTTGCTCCCGTCCACATCACCAGAGCGTCCCCTCTGACTCTCTCACGAGACAACAAATCCCATCCAGCATGATCATCGGGGTCCCTGAAGTGAATTACGGTCCTGTTTCTCCAGATTTAAAAGTCAGAACAACGTCTCTGTCTCTTTTCCTCTGCTCCACCCCTCCCTTCTTCTTTGTTACTTCCAAACAACGTCATAAAGAAGAAAATGAGATGAGTAAATGCGCAACTTTTTATCTTGACATTTTGGATTCAGGCGTTTTCCATAAAACAAATAGCAGAAGCGGGAACAGATCCCGAGGAGAAGAGGAGTTGATATACATTTGTCTGGCTTCATTAGCAGTGGGCATGATCCAGCACGTGGGGAATTTAGACGATTTAAAGAGTTTCAGCTCATTTCCCATAAAACTAACAATGGTAACTGCGAACATTTCTCAAATATTTACCATTTGCCAAAGCACTGTGCGGAGCTATTTACATTCATTACTTTGTATAATCATCATATCAGCCCAGTGATGTAGGTCTTACAGCCCACTGCCTCCAAGTCAGAACAGACGCAGAGCTGGCCGTCCTGTGGGTTTTCAGAGGCTGTGAATCACCTGACAGGAGATGGCCTCTACTTCTCCCAAGGAGCAGCTCATAAATTCAAAGCACCTGCCTTTGGGGTGGCAGTACAATTCCCCTTCCTACCTCATTTTATTCCCTGTCCTCATTTTATGGGATGAAGAAGCAGAAAATGAGACGTCAAGTTGCTTTTCCAGCCTGGCCTCTCTCCAGAGCCTGGGCATCTTAGTGATTCTCTTAACGCTGCCTCTGTGTGCGAAGACTGCCTTTGTGTGGTGGGGCAGTGGTTAGAGGCTTGGATGCTGGTTGACCAGTTGGTGACAGGAAGGTGTCATTATGAGTGGGAGTTGAGTCCAAGGAAGTGGAGTCTGGGGTTTTATGCTAACGAGCCTTGGTAGGACAGTGGTTAAAGGGTTCTGCTAATAATCAAAAGGTCAGTGATTGGAACTTCACAGCCACTTGGCAGGAGAAATACGTGACAATCTGCTCCCATAAGCCTGACAATATCAGAAGCCTATGGGGCAATTCCATTCTCTCTTCAGAGTTGCTGAGTCAAATGACTTGAGGGCATATAGAGTTCTGGGCCTGAGTAAAGAGCTTATATGATAGTATTGACCACCAAGAAAACAAATATGTTTGTCTTGGAGAGGGTAAAACCAAGTTTCTTCTTGGAGGCTAGAATTTTGAAGCTCCATCTCACATACATGTGGCCAGGAGGGACCGGTTCTTGGAGAAGGACATCATGCTCTGAAGACTGGAGGGACAGCACAGGAGAGGAAGACCTCAGACGAGACTGATTGACACAGTAACTGGGGCAATGCGGGTTGGTGTGTCAGAGTCAGTGAGACTGGCTCAGGACAGGGCAAGGTTCAGAGCTGCTGAAGGTAGGGTCGCTATGGGTCACAGGTGACTCAACAGCACATAACAACAACAACAACAATAACAATAATATTGCACCATACAAGGAAAGAGACTACATAAAATTCTACAAATACACGAGAAGTACCTATTACTGATAAAGGGCTGAGAGAAGAAAGTAAAGAGAAAGAAGCATAGTTTTTCTATTTTAAAAGAACCCACTGTCACAGCGACCCCTTGGCATTCCAAGGAGGTAAATTTTACGGAAGCAGACTGCCATGTCTTTCTCCTAAATCTTGGGTCAGATGCTGGTGAGATTAAATTATGTTTCTGCCAAAACATGAATCAGAATCTTATTCCCTACCCTTCCTTGTTTGAGAATGTAAATTTGCTTGGGAATAGCTGCACTGCAATCCCAAAGGTGCACAGTTTGAATCCACCACCTGCTCTGCGAGAGGACAAGCAATCTCCTCCCACGTGACTTCCTGCCTCTGAAAACCCTCTGGAGGGTCATCTACGGACGGTGCACAACAACATATCATGTTAAAGAGGTCATATCAGTGTTCACTGTATCCTATACATAATCACTTCTGAATTATAAAAAGAAACATTTAGACACAAGGAGAAATACTGAAGGGAGAGACGGATACCCAGGGATGATCCTCAAAGAACCATGTGTCACCAGAGCTATAAAAGCTGGAGTAAAGAAAGATCTTTCGCCAGACCGAAAAGAGGAGAGAGCGGAGCCATACCTCAAATGCCTTAAATACAGACCTGTGGTTTCTGAATTGTGAGAAAATAAATTTTTGTTTTGTTTTTTTTTAATAATTTTAATGAACATTTACAGAGAATTTGGATTTCCATTCATTCATTGCTGCACTTCTCTACCAGCCCCCCCGTTCTCTCCTCTCTTTCAAAAGTAAAAGAAAGACTCCCTCCCTGGTATAAATTTCTGGTTTTAAGATACCCTCCTTACAGTGTTTTTGCTGAGTCCTAGATAATTAAGACAGATACAAAGAAAGTTTAAAAGAATTGGGAGGATGTGTAAATTACAGTGCATTCACACAATGGAATATTATGCAGCACACAGGAGCAATAACTTTGTAAATTATTACCTAACTTGGGAGGGACTGGAGAGCATTATACTGAGTGAACTAACTAAGTCCACAAGGATAAATATTGTATAAAGCCATTACTGTAGAATGAGTATAAGGATCCAGGAGGGGTGGGAGAGGCTGGAAGCAGAGGGATGTGGATATGCAGGGGGAGGGGGATTTTAATCATGGGGTTGCACAATCTGATGGGTGGAGGTTGAGGGAAATTGAAAGAATGTGTTTGAATTTGTATTAGAATTTTGTAAATAAACTAGGGGGAAGAAAAGTCAGCTTGGGGAGGGGGAAGAGAGGAAGAAGGGGTAAAATGTGCAAAAATGAATGAAAATCTAACTTTTCTGTAAACTTTTGTTAAAATGACAATTGAAAACTTAATTTAAAAACAAGAATTGGGAAGATACGTAAAAGACAGTCGATCTAAGGTAAATCTGTTGTTGTTGTTGTTGTTGTTGTTGTTGTTGATTGCCGTCGAGTCAATGACAACTCATAGCAACTCTACGAACAAAAGACCTGAAGTCTTTCTATAACTATCCTCATTTCTCCTCCAAGTTCATAGAGTTTCAATAGGCATGTGGTGTAGAAATTAGATGCCACTTCTGCTTCCAAACCTGTCTTAAACTAGGAGCTCCGCCCAACACTGTCAACCATGGACAACCGTTATGACATTTAACACCCAAAAGGCACAAGGCTCAGTATCACAGCAACCCCAGACTACCTCAGTATGGCAAACTCACAGAAGAGTGCTGTATGATCCTCCAAAATATAACAACGCTAGGCCCAAGGGCTAAAACAAAATGGAAAACAATGGCACTCCATGAGGCACTCCTTCACCCCACACTCCTTCACAACCAAGCATTCCCACTGGCTCTCACCAAAGCAGAGCGCACATCTTGGATGTCTATAATCCAAGGACCATAAAGATTGGGCTCAGCTTGATAGGCAGAGATGACTTTTTTTTGTAATTTGAGGTTATTGGAAAGACTCTTCCTCATTGTTCCTGAGTTTATCCATAAACTTAGTGACTCCCTGTAGAGACAAGGTGTTTCTAGGTGATCCTGTGTAAGACTCATTATTACCTGCTGATGGTTTCGGTCACTTTCTCAGAGTAGATGCCTTCTGGCACAGGGTCATACACTGCCTCCACAATCTGTAAAACAAACAGGCCAGAATGAAGGGGGGAAAGGGGACATTGCGTGGCCACAACAGGGACGTTAGCAATTAAGCAAAAGACCTTCATGCACAATTTTAATTTAAAAACAAAACAAACAAACAAACAAACAAAACACCCAAGAGCCCAACACTCCAATTGTATGAAAATTTAATACTGGCCAAACAGTTCTTGAACACAGAAATCTATTCTCCCAGCTAACTGAAAGTTAGGGAGCTCTGGTGGCCTAGTGACAAGAAGCTTCACTGCAATCCCAAAGGCACACAGTTCAATGCCACCAGCTGCTCTGCAGAAAAAAGATGGACAATCTCCTGTCTGACTTCCTGCCTCAGAAAACCCACCAGAAGGTCAGCGATGGGTCAGTTCCAGGCCAACAGTACAAAACAACAACAAATTAAAGTTAATCCTGATTTCATAACAAATGAGTTAGGTAACATACTATGTAAGGCTTTGGCCAAACCACAATTATAAATAATTACATAAAAAATAATTTTAGGCGAGCTCTGGTGGCCTAGTGGCAAGAAGCTGCACTGCAATCCCAGAGGTGTGTGGTTCAAATCCACCAGATACTTTGCTGGAGAAGGAGGAACCATCTCCTCCTGTACCAGTCAAATATGATTTGACGGTACACACACACACACACACACACACACACACACACACACACTAAAATAATAAATTAAAAAAATAATTTTATACTTCTGGTTGGTTCTTATATTTTTCTTTGATACATAAAGATAATTAGAACAAAAATATGCCATAGCACATGCTTTACATACATACACACATAGATATATAAATATATGTGCACACATCCATATATGCATACGTGTATATCTATATGAAAGAAGAAAAAAAAATGGAGTCATGTACAGTGTCTGCTTTTCTTGGTGTTTTTTCTTTTTAAAACCAAAAATATTCTGTTTCAGAAGAGGAGAGGGATCCTTAGCAACACCAGGGTCCAGCGCTCCCAGCGTGACTGACCTTAGTGGCCAAGGAGAGCATGTTGGTGCTGTAGAAAGGAGGATTCAGCGTCGCCATCTGGTAAAGGATGCAGCCAGCCGCCCAGACATCAGCCTTCTCCCCATAGGGCTCGCTCTTCAGGACCTCGGGGCTGAATGAAAATAAGGACACTGATAGATTCTGAGCAAAGGAGAGTAAGTCACCACCAAGAGTACACCCAACCTTCATGCTGTAGTTGTCGTTATTGTACCCTCAAGTCAGAACCGATTTACAGCTGACCCTCTAGCAGGCTTTCAGAGGAAGCTAATTCCATGGGAAGAGGTTGGTTGCCCATATTTCTCCTGCAGAGCGGTTGGTGGATTTGAACCATGTGCCTTTGGGTTGGTAATGCAACTCTTTACCACTAAGTCAAGTTGCCTATGTTGTTGTGTGCTGCTGATTCAGAGCCAACTCATAGCTGACCCTCCAGCAGGTTTTCAGAGGCATTAAATCACAGGGGAGGAGATTGCCCATCCTTTTGCAGAGCAGAGGATGGATTTGAACCACAGGCCTTTGTGATTGCAGTACAGCTTTTTACCACTAGGCCACCAGAGCTACCTTGCTGTATATGATTGAGTTTAAAACAAAGAAACCATCTCGATCCCATTGCCATCACATCAGAACCAAGTCCTAGCTAACGTTCCAGTGCTCATCTTTCTCCCTCAGAAATACTGGTGGATTTGAACCGCCAAAAAGGCAGGATCCTTGAGTTAACAGCATAATTCCAGATGGACTATGTCACCAGCCTTCCCTAACTACAGGGCAGACTTCCACTGTGAGAAAATGCAGTAGACAGAAGCACTTCCTCAGGCTCTTCTGTAAGTAATTCCCCACTACACCCACCCAAACTACTTGAAACTCTTGACCACACCCCACGTAAACATGTTCAAAATAGCTCTGAAGTCTCCCGAGGGCAGATAGACAATAAGCACAGTTGGGTACAGCCCATGTTGTTGCTAGTGTGTGTTATCAGGACAATTTGACTCACAGGGACTCCTTGTGACAGAAGAGAGCTTCCAAGGTTTCCCAAGCTTGATAACATAGTAACTTATGGGTTGGGCTGTTAACTGGGGTGCCCACCCACCAGCGGTTTTGTGGGGATAAAAGGTGAAGCTGCCTGCTCTTCTTTGGATCTGCAGTGTTGTAAAGTCAATGTAGGGCTACCATGTAGCAGAAGTGACTTGACAAGGCAGCTCTGGTGGCCTAGTAGCAAGAAGCTGTACTGCAATCCCAGAAGTATGCAGTTCAAATCCACCTGATGCTCTGCTGGAGGAGGGTCAATCTCCTCCTGTACCAGTCAGATCTGATTTGACGGTACACACATGCAAAATAATAAAAAAACAAAAAAAAAGAGTGACTTGACAACAAAAGGTTTTTTGGCCTGGAATCTTTACAGAACACTTTCAGACTTTTGTCCAATGAAGATGCTGGGTAGATTCAAACTGCTGACCTCCACCATCAAATAATGATGTCAGATTAATAAATCATATTTTAAAGATTTTAAGTGGCATTGACTTTCAAAATAGCTTGCCTCCAGAAACTCTATGAACTTAGAGAAATGATGAAAGTTTGACAAGTGTTTGGGTCTTGCGTGCATAGGGTCCCTATGAGCTGTCTATGACTCAATGGTATTTAACAACAACAAACAACAGTTTAAGGTTCCAGTCCTTGGGAAATTATATCACGCTGAGAGAAGTGGAAAGGCAGAGAAAAAAAGAAGGTCCTCAACACGATGGATTGATATGATGACTATAGCAACGGCTTGAGCGTGTCTTGGCTTCAGGGTGTCTTGGTTCGTGGGGATGGTGTAGGATAGGACAAGGATTAGATCTGTTGTTTACAGAATTGCTATGAGCCATAGAGAGAGCTCTGTTGTCCTAGTGGATAGAAAGTGGCACTACCAAGCCAACGGTGGGTGAATTTAATCTGTGGCCCTCAGGCCTCGTTTTAATTGTTTTTGGTCAAACAGTCTTCTAAGAATAGTATAAAAGTAAGTATAGCACTAGTGTAAGTATAGTATAAGTTTAGCACTAGTCTGCCAATTGGCTGTACAGAGATAACGCATGGTTGATGTGATGCTGAACACTGTAACACTCATGTGTCAAATTTGATAATGGTTACCCATGGTGGACAGTGTTTGGTGGAGTTCCCCGATTAAAAGAGGCATGGAAGTGGGAGTGGCATCCACTTCTGAAATAGCATGCCTCCTAAAACTGTATAAACTTAGAGAAACGATGCAAGTTATATGAACGTTCAGGTCTTTCATTCATAGGGTGGCTATGAGTCATCTATGACACTTAACAACAACATAAAGATTAAGGTGTGCCTAGTCTGAGCCACAGTCTTTTCAATGGCTTCCCATGCAACTGAAAGCTGGACAATGAACAAGGATCACAGGAGAAGGATGGATGCATTTGGATTGTGGCACAGGAGAAGGGTATTGAATATCCCATGCACTGTAAGAAGAGCAAATAAGTCTGTCTTGGAGGATGTACAACCAGGATGCTTCTCTGAGGTAAGAATGGTAAAAGTTGGGACCATCAGTCAGCATTATGATAGATGGAGAAAGTATTGAAGCTGTCAATGATTATATCCTGCTTGGATTAACAATCAACACCTTTGGTACCAGCAGTCAGGAAATTAGGACACATATTGCATTGTGCAAGTCCACTGTCAGGGACTTCTCCAAAGTGCTGAAGAGCAATGATGTCAGATTGAAGACTAAGGTGTGCCTGACTGAGGCCATCATCTTCTCCATCACCTGCTACACATTACAGAGATGAACAATGAATAAGCATGACAGAAGAAGAATTGATGCCTTTGAGAAGAGTACCGATTATCTCCTGGCCTGCCAAAAGAACAAACAGCTATTTCTTGGAGACAGGACAAGCAGAGTGCTCTTTGGAGACAAGGATCATGAAGCTTCATTTTCATACTTTGGACATGTAGCTAGGTGAGGCCATTCCTTGGAAAGAGACAGCATATGTGGGAAAATGGAGGGTCAGCCAAAGAGAGGAAGATCTCTAACGAGATGGATTGACATGGTGATTTCAGCAATGGAGGATGGCACAGGATAGGGTAGGGTTCAGAATCTGTTCTTCATAAGGTTGCTAAAGGTTGTACTCGACTTGAAGGCTCTTACCAACAATAACTCTTCGAAAATGTACTATATTGTATTTTATCCAAAAAGGACCTCTGCTTTACAAAGGGCCAAACCAGTAAACATATTGTTAATGAGAACAAGTTAAGACAAAGAGAAGAAGCAGATATTTTTAAAATCTCACCCCTAGTTTCTCTCAGATATATGAACGGTTAAATTGCTAACTGCAAATGATTCTCACTTATTCATTCAGCATGGAAAACAATAGAGACTCAGGAATCTTCCACATCATTCCAAGATGTGAATGCTCCAGTCATGTTCAAATGATGCAATAATGCAATGATTTTATATAAATCGGGGACCTTCTTTCCAACAAATGACACAGATTGAATAAAATGGCGACTCTTAGAGGTAGATTTGAAGCATTAGAAAAGGTGGTCTCCTCATCAACAAACGAATGGATAGAGAAGCTGTGGTACATTCATACAATGGAATACTATGCTGTACTGAAAAACAAGGAACTCATGCAATATTATTCAAAATCGGTGACCCTGGAGGACATTATGCTGAGTGTAATATCTCAGTCACAAAGGGACAAATACTGCGTGGTGCCACTGTTGTAGAATGGGTCTGACATCAGGGTTGGGGTGAGACTGAGAAAACACTGGATAAATGATGTATACTGCACTGAAACAGATGAGGGAAAGAACAGATTAGAGGTGATATGTGACTGAGTATTATGGTTAGCACAGGAATCCAGAATTAAGGTTGCATAGAGAAGAGTACTTAGTGTGCAGGGGTGGGGAAGATGGAGGAATTATATACCAATGAAGGAAATTTTTTTTCTTTTTCTTTTCAAAGAGAGGAGCGAACTGGTGGGGAGGGATGGACAGGGAGAAAAGTGCAGCAATGAATGAATGGAAATTCAAAATCTCTGTAAATGTTTATTAAAATTAAAAAATTTTTTTAAAAGGGTGGTGTCTTCCTTTCTCAGATTCCAGGCAATAACAATCAGGGCTTCCTTCCTTCCATCACACGTTCAATGTTCTGCTCTTTGCTCTCTCTGCACTCTCTCTCTTACACCCAAAGCCTCTATTAAAGCCACATACTCTGAAAGGTCTCGGGTCCCACCTCCCTTCCACATACTTCATTTATATAATAGAGTTGAAATCCACCTTGTGCCCATAACCCTCTCAGAGGCTGGAATGTCAAGTGCTGTCAGTAAGGTGCAGCAAAAGAAACAGGGTATTCCTGGTAGAACAAAACCAGGTCCTCTGCGTCTCATCAGCACAGGAGTCTGGATTTCAGAACCGTCTCAGACCCACATTCCATCCGAAAGCAGCATTTCTTCTTGTTTTTATACTTCCACATTTTTTCCACGTGTCCTTTATTTTTTTAGATTTTATTTTATTTTTTTAAATAATTTTAATAAACATTTACAGAGATTTTGGATTTCCATTCATTCACTGCTGCACTTCTCTCCCCGCTCAGCCCTCTCCCCTCCCCCAGTTCGCGCATCTTTTTTATTTTGTTTTGTTTTGTTTTTTATTTTATTATTTTTGTGTGAGTGTACCATCAAATCAGATCTGACTGCTACAGGAGGAGATTGTTCCTCCTTCCCCCGGCAGAGCATCTGGTGGATTCGAACCGTGCGCCTCTGGGATTGTAGTTGCAGCTCCTTTCCACTAGGCCACCAGAGCTCCCCTCCTCTCTTTCAAAAGTAAAAGAAACACTTCCTCCCTGATCCACAATCCCGCCGCACCCCTCCCACCGCCCCAAGTACATTCCACTATGCAACCTTAATTGTGGACTCTTGTGATAACCATAATACCCTATCATACATTTCTTTTAAATTATTCTCTCCCTCATCTGTTTCAGTGCAGTATACACAATTTATCCAGTTTTTCTCAGTAAATCAAGTCAGTTTAAGCAATCTTTTGGATTCAGTTATGTGCAGGTACATATACAGATAGTTTCGTTTGGGGTGTTGTGGTGTTTTGTTTGTTTGTTTT